AAAAAATGTAATTTCTCATGATATAGAGTAATAATATGAAAATAATTCTTGATATAAAAGAAAAATGACTAAAACAAAGTTATCAAAGTAAACATTGTTTAAAAATATTTTAACTAATATCAAAATATTAATTAGCTATTTTGTGTATGTTCGTATAAGATGCAATGTGTACAAATCAAAGTTATTTATAATTTAAATGTTATAAAGTATATAATATTAATATAATTATATTAATTACACAATGTAAATAATATTTATATTTTCAACTATCAGTTAATGTAATTATTATTTACGTTTATAGTCAGTGTACAAAAATTTTGTTTGAAATTAAAAATCAATTACTAACGTCATAGATATTTAATCATCAAGTAATAAAAATTATTATAATTATTAATAAATGGATGTTTTACATCATGAAGACATTTTTCCAAGTTCAGTCCATTAAAACTTTTCTTTATTTTACTTACAAGTCACAATTAATCGAAAATAATATCTTATTAACTTTTAATAACTTATAGTCAGTCGTTCTTAGGTGGTGCGATGGTATCGCATCCCCTATGTGAATGTATGTTTTCTTACATTTTGCATATAAAAAATTATTTCAAAATTGCAATTTTAGTATTATTAAAGTTGATTTATTTTTCAAAACATAAAGGAATTTAATGTAAAATATATTTATAACAAATTTATTGTCAATTATAATTCTTACCACTTCCTAATGTAATTAATTTAATAGCAATCAAAAATATTATAAATAATCTTAATTCTGATCAACTAATAAACGCGCTTCGGTTGTGAATCAGACAGGCATTATGTGTTTGATACGGAAGACCCGCAGACGAAACTAAAAACTTGTTTTCAAAGCATATATATATATATATATGGTTATCAAAAGCTACATAACGGCGCACAATAGATCAATAGATTATCCTTTGATACAAGAGACATATTTTTATTATTATTATTATTATTATTTTATTATTTATGAATCGATTTTTCTTAATAATATTTCTATATAACAATATTCTTAAATATCTAAATAAGATTAATTTATATTTTTGTAATACTAATATTTTATATAAGTACTGGGCGATAAAAAAAAAAAAAATTAAATATCATCCTTGGGTTACCACGATCACTATTTTCTAAATCGGTAAATTGAATTACCGAATTTAACCAATTTTTATTAACTTAAATAAATCTCTCTTTAGTGTACCTCATTCCAGCGAGATTGAAATTCGGATTCAAAATGAAATTTTTTTCTTTAAATAAATGATTTTCATAGCAGTTTAGTTGAAATATGTTTATAACCTCTTTTTTAACAAATAAAAACTGGTCATCGATAAATTTACTTTCCGAATTTCTCATTATATTAAATAATTCTTATTGGAAAATATTTATTATATTTGATACTGTAGTCACTGTATTAAAAATAAATATATTCCAATTATTAATGGTAACAATCAGTGGCGTATATAAGGGGTGATGTGGGGATCAGATTCTTTCTAAACATTTTTTTAAATGTTATAAAATAATGTTTTTAGTGTGAGAGTGTTAGAAACGTAAAAAAAATAATGATTTGTTTGCAAATTATCCTCCCCTCCATATAAAAGTTATGTATACGCCACTGGTAACAATGTATTATGAAAATAAGTTATACAGTGAAACTTGTATAACATATTTCATTTTATACTTATTATAATTTGTAAGTACAACTAATAAAAAACTTTAAAAAATTAATTTGGTTGACGGGAGTCGAACTTCATTAAAGTGTCAGCCATGGATATTATAGATAATAATATTATATATAATATTTATTAATTCAAAACTTTTTCAAATAATTTTCAAAATGTTTATACGAGTATTTTACTATTTTCTTATTAATTTAAAATGAGCTCTTATTACACGTGTTATGGAATTCATGTGTCACGTGAAATACGTGTTTAACCAAAATATATATCCGTTTTTATAATGATAAAATTAAAATTAGTAATTTTATATTTTAGTACTTGAAGTTTTAATAAAATATTATTTGTACTAAATTAAAATAAGGTAATACGTTTTTATCATATTTTGAAAAAACACGTATTTCACGTTTACACGTGAATTCCTTAATACGTGTGATAAGAATTTTACTAAAAACCATAACTTAACTAACCATTAATATTACGTAAAAAAACAAGATACTAAAAAAAAAAATTTTAATATTACTTCCAGAGTAGAACAAGTTACAATTCCGATTTGAATGGCAATGCAATATAGTTTCATCTTATTAAAATTGTAAAATTTCAATAAATACTCAAAGTAGAAGGGTTCATCATAAAAAAGTTCAATTAGCAAATTTGATGACTGAAAGAAAAATTTTATAAAACACGTAAAATTCGAAAAAATAAACATTAAAGTGTAAAACGACAGCTGACGACAAATAAAGCGGTCTCTGGTTAAGATGAGTAAAATTTAGATTCTAAATCTGCCAAATTATAATGGATGGGTCTATAAAATACGTCGATAACGAAAAAAATATAACATTTTATTTTTTATTTTATGTCACTTTTGATAGTCTATTACTTTACTGTGCGGCAAAGTCGTTACTTTCTAGCAAGCAATAAACGATAATTTTTGTCGCACATTTTCGTAAACAACTTGCGCTAGTGCTCGACGTGACGAATTTGATGTTATTTACGTCTAGCGTTTAGCGTTAATACAATTCTGAATAATTGCTGTTGTGTATTTGATAAAACAATATCATATGAATTATGTCATATTATAATAATATTTTTTATTGTTAATTTACTCTTTCGCTTTCTAAACTACGAGATTTTCGATTTGTTGTTTAAATAAGTTTTTTATAGTAATAAACAGATATGTAATGTATATTTTTGTATTATGAATATTCAAGAAATATTAAAATTGAAATTTTTTTCGATATCACTTGAAAATGAATTTAAATTACATCATTAGGCAAACCTTTACCTGAATTACTTCATTTAATTCAGAAGTCAAAAATGGGAAATATGGATAATAGTCATCATTTTAATATTGAGCTATTCCAAAATGTACAAATGGATATGTGGGTGTGAAACTACTATAGCATTATTATTTTTCTTTGTTTTATTTATTTATTTTTTTTTTTTTTTTTGAGATGATTTATCATGGACCAGGTGCGAATCCAAGGGGGAGCGAAGAGGCGCACGCCCCCTTCAAATCCCTAAGAATAGGTTTGTGTTAATAATAAATACCAAATAATAAAAGTGTGATTAACTAACAAAATGCACAGACTCGCATGAAGTTAAATTCTCAAATTCACGTGATTGCATACGTGAACTTTAATTTCAAGTACATCTACGCATTTAACTACACGTGAAATAGAGACCTTTAATTTTAACGAATTAGATATTTTTTATCTAATAATTTATTTTTAGATAAAACCTTTTTTGGATTATTTATAAGAGCTACGAAAAAAAATATTTATATAACAATTTTCAATTACAAACGATAGTACAAATCAAGGACTAAAACCATAATCGAAAAGAACCGGTACTGGAACCGGTTAACCTTTAAAATTTAGGAACCGTAAAATTTAGGAACCGTAACTGAAACCGGAACCTTTATTTTCAAAAATGAAAAACCGTAACCGTAACCTTAATTATAAAAGGTTTAATTTAGGTCAGTTATTTAGACTAGTAAAACTATGGTGGTAATGACTATTTTGTTTGTCTTTTTGTCGGTTCAGAAAATAAAAGTCAAATCTTTTTATGTTTTTATTATTTTGTGTTGTAAACTGTAATAGTGTAATGCATATAATAAGTAAATTTGTAATATTATTATCATTACTATTTTTTTCTATGTTTATTATTATATTACAATTTACAATAAGTATATCATCCATCTTGTCTATTAAGTATTAAATATAATTAATGTTTATACAAATTTGTAGCTACAACAGTAGCCAGTATTAACATTGATTCATAATTAAAATTAAATTTTAAATTAAATATATTTACTTCATCAAATCATAATATTTCACAATACTACAAAATATTTAACAAATTATTACTATGAATTGGAATAAAATATAGCTGATAATAATATATAGCTGATATAATATATATTATATATATATAAAGGTATATATTTAATATATTTATAATTATTTTTTTTAACTATTCATAATACCTTCTATTTTCATGAAATTAAACAATTAAAATTTAAACAAGAATAAATAATTTCATATTATTTTTTAATAAATCTCCAATAATCAGAATTAACTTAACCGGTTCTAGAACCCTTACTTTTTTTAAAAACCGAAACCGTAACCGAAACCCTTAAAAAATTAATTGAACAACCAAAACCAAAACCGGAACCGAAAAAACCTATAGATTCCAGTCCCTGGTACAAAGTCTCAAAATAACTTATTAGCAAGGAATTATATAAAATTCAACTTATAATCTTCAAATATTTTATACTGTTATTACTCTCATAATTAAAACAGTAATGTATAACATGTATTTTTAATTCACGCACATTTTTAATAAATTTTTTTCATCAATTTCCACGTTTTAATTAAGTTTACCACGAGCTACAATACTATATTTCATGTTCCTTAGATTTTTATCGATGGATTAAATTACGATCTACGAACATATATAATTATATTATATTAATAATAATAATAATTATATAATATTAATTATATTATTATTATATAATTATTTATGCCTAATTGATTTTTTTACTGTATGTATGTATTAATTTATACATTATAAATGGGATAATATTTCTAGTAAAATAATCTATTAGATACGTATTTTATGTAAACACCACAACAACAACTTTGTGCTAGTATATAATAACGTATATTTAAAATAATATACAAATAAAATTAAAAAATCTCGTTTACAAATTTTACACATAGTAAGTAACCACAAAAAAAAAAAACTCCCTGTTCAATTAAGCAAAGTATATATATTTAAAACGGAACAACAAGGAAATTCACTTACCTGTGATAACAATACTAATCGTGCAGACGACGAGCAGCAATTCGGAGCACTGGTGGCAGAATCCGGGCCTCAAAACCATGATATATATTCTATCGCAGTTTTTATAAACCGTAATCGTATTCAATCAATTCGTTAAATGAACGAATTGCGATTCGTTAATATTTTACTGTTGTGTACAAGCGATTTTTGGTGATATCACGTGGAATTCACAACACTAAGTCCGGCAGCGTGAGATGACATAATTTTCCACAGAAATGAACTCCACGTGTAATGTGTAAGCGATTTAACCCGGTAAATTGGTATCTAAAAAAAAAAAAAAAATTAATTAAAGCAATCAACAAATTCTATCAAAACTATAACTTGGATTAGGTAAATCGTCAACACAAGATATTTTACGGCGTATACAATGCGTATAATTTGCTTGTAGTATTTACTCGTAGTACCTATACCTAGTATACATTTTATAATTTTCGTACACGTATAACCATTAGCATCTGTAATAATCATCTATTTTTTACTAAATATAAATGATCTTTTAACAAATAAATAGTATTCAATATAAAAACATTTACATTACACACGAATACACTTTTATATATTTGTGTGTGTGTGTGTGTGTATATATATATATATAGTAATGTATAAATTCTATATGAATATAATTTATACACTTATCTATTCATTTATTTATTATGCATACATATTAAATAATAATATATACGCCAAAAGTTTTGGCCAAGAGAACCCAGTAATAATTAATAATGATAACAACAGTTGAACAAGTTCGGAAATTATAAAAATTAGAGCACGTTCACTGTTGTACAACGCACAAAATAATAATAATTGTAAGCCATTGTTTGGTGTACTAAGTTTTCTCATATGCACGTTTTTGTTTTGGTTGTGTTTCGAAATGATGCATCAACGCATAGTCATATACTGATTCGTAATCACCGTGGAGTAGACACTTTTTACGATATGAAAGAGTATGGTATAAACCCTAGCGGCTTTGACACAATATTGTTGGAGCTCATTTTCTGTCGTACAAATATGTATATGTTTGGAATGTGACGACAAAGTTCTACGAATCACTTCACGTGCATATAGTGTCTTTTGAAGAGCTAGGGTGCTGCGTAGAACTCATTAGCGCTGTGCATTATGTGTACTCGAAATTTCCATGGTTCTGGTTATGATGGTGGTGCTCGTATTCGGGTGGAATATTTATTTAATTTAAATATCATACATATTACTTTCTGAGTATATGCAAATGTTAACATTAAATAATTGATTGACACCAACTGACAGCAAGGTTTTCAACGGACATTGTTGTATCCGAGTACTTATAGCCGTACTTATTGCCTATCGACGGTGTGGTTTGAGCTATGTACTGCCTCACTAGCTTCTAAAATATGGCTCGCAACTAGGGTTTTTAATGAGAAACCCTCACAAATCGGGTATCAACAAACTAAAAATCTAACCCTGTTCAATGTAGACACCGTTTAAACCCAATCCAAATATACAAGGGCCACTAAAAGCTAACCATCTAATTCTCCAAATTATTCCCGAAATCATTCATTGACATATCTAAATAATTTGTGTTTATTCTTGTACAATATAAAATACAATATACATTGTACATATACATACAATTTGCAAAGGATTTATATTTTCAATAAATTCCCGAGCTTATAATACAAGAATCATAAATTAAAAATAGTTTTCAAACAAATTATTATCATATAAGCCTAAAAGCTAATTAGCTTTTGTTAGCTCTTTTAAAAGACACAATGATGTGATGAATGAAATATACTATATTAAATCACCATAACTAACATACACACACATATATATATATATATATATATATATATATATTCTATTCACGTTGAACATAATTCAATGTTTATATAACAGCCGGTCCATTGGCGTGCACACGGGTAGGGCTGATCGAACTTTAGCCCCACCTGAGCTTTTTTTTATACGTGGGTGGGTACTGCCGGTACTGGTACTTTATGATTTTATGAAGTTGTGGCTAAAAGTAGGTATAGCCCTTTACTTTCTAAACGTTTGTGTTTACTCGAAATCCTATATAGAAATTAGAAAGTAATAAGGCCGTTCATGATTGATAACAAAATAATCAAAATCATAGATATTTAAACGATTATTGCAATTTGTGGATATTAAACTTGTTTAATATCTTTGATCAAAATAATATTATGTTTTATCTTCACGTGTGATTATACCAATTAACATAAGCCATCACCTATTGGTTATCAACTGAGTACCGTTTATCATTTGTAATATTTATGCATGCTTTATCATGTGTTATCACTGTTTCGTTTATTTGCCGTTTTTAATAAATAATTATTGTGCGTATTACGTAGGTACTATTCAACTGTAAGTTGTCGGTTAAATTGTAAACTATGTCCTGTGGTTTCTACTCTGTGTCCACATCAATAATTAACAATTATTTAAAAAGTTGACGTGTTTCTTGTGTATAACTGTACAAGTTACAAGTTACAAAGTTACATAATTTTTTTAATATGTCTTGCCAAAATGATAAAGAATATTGTCTGTGGGGTAGATTGAAAGTTAAATGGCCCATCTCATCACTGAGAATAAGTTCTTATCGGTGATGATGGAATGCTATTAAAAGATAATTATACATAATAAATAGATTACATTATATACACTGGTACATTACATAAGCTAATTGTTTTATTAGATTATATTTGATTTACATTTTAAATCAATATCGATGAATTGTACGTGTGAAATAATGAAAACTGATTGTTTACATTTGCCAGTGACAAACAAAAGGGTTACTTCGAAATTTATATTGAAAATTTCAATAATATTTTTGTTTTATGACTAGGAAAAAGGGATGGTTGATCAGATTGAATTTGGCCATACCATAACTGACTCAGAGATTTGCGCATGCCTATGAGTCTTAAATCCGAAAAATGCTCAAAAACAAATAAAATCTGGATTTTATTTTACATTTTAAGTGGTGATAATTTTATTTAAGTCAAGACTTAGGAACAGCCAACACGAATCATATTCCATAGTATAAATGAGTATATAATTTAACTACGCGTAATTTAGAGACTTCTAGTATAAATCAATTGGTCGATTATAATTATTTTATTGACTCAAATTTTTGTATTTTTTGTACAAACATGAAGTATATATCATACGTGTATGCTGATCTATGCTTGTATGTATATATATTTATATATGTATGTAAATACATATGTAAGCAAGTTCTGATGGGCAGAATCAATGGTAGAAGACCCAGAGGCCGCCCCAGACATAGATGTATGGACACTATAAAATCAGACCTAGCAAAGATTGCACCAGAGACAGAACTAGCAGGAAGTGAAAATAGAGAGAAGTGGCAAGAAATTGTGGAAGCAGCGAAGGCCCTCAACGGGCTATAAAAGCTAAAAAAAAAAAAAAAAATATGTATGTGTGTATGTGTTCTGCAAAATACAGGGACAGCTATTATATACATATAAACGATGGTTCACGTAGGAAGATACAAACAATGCAAATCATTCGACCGTAGAATATTGCGTGAGTAACGGTAGTTATATTGTTCCACAAACGGATTTTACCCTTATTTTTGTATTCTTCCTCGGTCCCACGTTGACCCTTAGGCAGGTAAATTGTGAGTCATATAATTCATGTCTGAATGTTCCACACTATTTACCGAGTAATTACCACGTTTTATTGGATGCATGGTGCATAACGATTCCATGACGATCCAATGGTAATTATACAACCATTTACATTATGTCACGTTTACACTACAATGTATTATACATCATGTATCCTCGTTGTATCACCACCGCCATTTTCAATAATATAATAACATATTTTCACTTAGCATAGTTAAGCAAATTAATAAATAAGTAAACAATTATTTTTATGGTTTTTGTTCATATCTCCTTCTCGATCTATACATACTTTGTAAACGAAAATAGATGGTATTAGATTCCTGGATTTTATAATATGTTGATAATGTTTTATATTTCACAAAATGAACATGATGTACAATTTTATAACATAAATAGTTATTAGTATATTAAATTATTAATTTTTTGTTTAATATACTATTATGTATCCAAAATTATCTTATAAATACACGTTTCCAAAATCAATTAACGTTATTAAATGTTGTAATATTTAATTAATCAAAGTGCCTTTAAAATTATATTATTGTCTAAGAAATAAATAATTTAGATAAAAGTAAGGAATGTACTTCACTATTTTATGTATTGGTTAGTTTTAAGTTTTAAATTTTTATTAACCTAGTAACCAGTATAAATTTTTATATTCCTGTTTCAAATATTCTTTTACAAATTTTGTTGTACAAGAATCGATTTTTAAATCGGGTTTTTATTATTTATACGCATTTAAAGTTTAGATAAACAGAGTGGTTAGGACAGTAATATTTTATTTGGTTATCCCTTATCTTACCATTATTTTAAAAGTTAATATTTCAAATTATAAAGAGTAAAGTAATTTATAATACAAAAATCGATTTAGAAAGTTAAAAATCACCTAATGCATCGTGTTATTATAACAAATATTTTCATATATATCAAACTATATTTCAAATATATTTCTATACACTAATTTATCTCAATAGCTACATAGAATTGTGGTCAAATCATGAATGTCCATGGTAAATATAAATAATTTTAAAGACTTTTATTAAATAACGTTAACTTACAATTACTTTCTATGTACATCAATTCATTCACCTATATACAGTGTTGCGCAATGATATCTAAACATTTTTCTAGATAAAAATAAAAGATAATTGGATACAATTTATAGATAGATTAAAGATAAAACGCTATTTATTTAGATAAAAAAAAAAAGATAATTTTTATTAATTTACACTTTTTTTTATAAATTTATACTACCATTTTCAATATGAGTAGAGTTATCGAAAATTAACATTTAATTTTTAGTGTCCAGATAAATCGTTTTATTTTTTATTTCGATCATTATTAATAATTAGTAATATAATAAATTATTCATAGAGAATTCAATTTTCTTTTTTCAAGAATAACAACAGTAAAATTGATTAGGGCAAATTTTAAAATAAATTAATACAATGACGTATTTTACCATAAGTGTAATAAGCTTAAATTCTGAAAGAAAAATAGTCAAATGCCCTTTTTGACTATGTATGACATTTATTTTATTGCATTTTAAAATCCAGTCTGTCTAGAATTTTACAAAACAAACGAAAGGTCATAAGAATTCGATGAGAAGCCTACTGAAAAACTTTT